CGTAGAATTCGTAATATGATTATCAGCAGTAGTAGTAATAGTAATACTAGTAGTAGGAGTAGTAGTAGTAGTAGTAGTAGTAGAAATAGTAGTAGTAGTAGTAGTAATAATAGTAGTAGTAGTAGTGGTGGTGGCGGTGGTGGTGGTGGTAGTAGTGGCAAGTGGTAGTAGTAGTCGTAGTACTAGTAGTAGTAGTAGTAGTAGTAGTAGTAGTAGTAGTAGTCGTAGTAGTAGTAGTCCTAGGAGTAGGAGTAGTAGTAGTGGTAGTAGTAGTAGTTGTAGTAGTAGTAGTAAGTAGTGAGTAGTATGAGTAGTTAGTAGTAGTAGTAGTAGTAGTAGTAGTAGTAGTAGTGGTCGTGGTAGTGGTAGTAGTAGTAGTAGTAGTAGTAGTAGCAGCAGCAGTAGTAGTAGTAAGTAGTAGTAGTGGTATTAGTAGTAGTAGTAGTAGCAGTAGTAGTAGTATTAGTCGTAGTAGTAGTAGTAGTAGGAGTAGTAGTAGTAGTAGTCGTACTCGTAGTAGTAGTAGTAGTAGTAGTAGTAGTAGTAGTAGAAGTAGTAGTAGTAGTAGGAGTAGTAGGAGTAGTAGGAGTAGTAGTAGTAGTAGTAGTAGTAGTAGTAGCAGCAGTAGTAGTAGTAGTAGTAGTAGTAGTAGTAGTAGTAGCCCTCCCCCCCTGAGCTACGCCGGGCACAAGACTACCCGCCCTTCCGCTTCAGCATCCATTTGTTGCCGTGGCAGGCCCATTTCCACCCGTCAGGGTTTGGCACGTCCACCACCGCGCCCGCGGCGCCATAAAAGTTCATTGGGTTGAATTCTTCCCCCTGCGCCTCGGCCACCCCGCCCCTTTCATTCCCCCACCTTCTGTTTCGTACGGGGACTTGCGGGGGGCCCTGCAACGAGAACCCTAGAGGCCCCCAGTGGCAAGTTCGAAGCACAACCTTCGGTATCGCATAGAATGGAGGCCAACAAAAAGGATTCCCTAGGAATTTCTAAGGATTCCTAAGGATTCCTGAGGATTGGTTTGGGTTCCGAAGGGTGCCTGGGCTTCCGAAGAATCCGAAGGAATCCCGAGGAATCCCCAAGAATCCGAAGGAATCCGGAGGAATTCCGAAGAATCCGAAGGAATCCGAAGGAATTCCGATGAAATTCCGAAGAATCAGAGGAACGGCTGAGGAATTCCGAAGAATCCGAAGGAGTCCTGAGGAATTCCGAAAGAGGAATCCAAAGGAATTCCGCAGGAGGAATCCAAAGGAATTCCGAAGGAGGAATCTAAAGGAATTCCGAAGGAGGAATCCCAAGGAATTCCGAAGGAGGAGCCAAAGGAATTCCGAAGAATTCCGAAGGAATCCCAAGGAATTCCAAAGGAATCCTTAGGAATTCCAGAAAGGAATCCTTAGGAATTCCGCCAGCATCCTAAGGAATTCCGAAGGAATCGTACGGAATTCCGAAGGAATCCCAAGGAATTCCGAAGGAGTCCTAAAGAATCCGGAGGAATTCCGAAGAATTCAAAGGGATCCGGAGGAATTCCGAAGATCCAATCCGCGGTTGGAATTGGTCTCATTTTTGGTTGGGTTGGAATTGGTCTCATTTGTGGTTGGAATTGGTCTCTTTTCTGGTTGCAATTCGCTCCGAACGGTTGGAATTGGGACAAGTCGGTTGTAATTCGTTCCATTTCGGGCAGCCCCCCTCCCCCCCCAGCACGATCGTTAGCGTTACCCAGGGGGGGGGGTAACGAGCGTTACGCTGGGGAGACAAAAAACAAAAAACGCTCACTTGGGCGTCCGCCTTCGCTTGCGACAGATTCCGCTCGCCAGTGGAGCCGCCCTCGCGTTACACTTCCCCCGCCTTCCGCCGACCTGCCGCCAGCCCTGAGGGGCCAACCCTTTGATCGAGGTTTCGATAGAAGACTGGGGCACCCTTCTCTGGAACGCCCTGCACGACTACAGTGGACCCCCCGCCGCCCCTGCCCCGAGCCTGTTTGGGGGGCCCTGAGATACCCCGTACCGCTACTCCCCGGACCTCTCCCGGTGTGCTTCCTGACCGGAACCTCCGGGCGAATCCACTCGTGGCGGCGGGGGCCTCGCGAGGGCCTCCCAGGAGGCCCAGACAGGCGAAAACGAGGGAAGGCCAGCTGTGTCGGCACCCACCTCCTCCTCCTCTGACACTCCCCGGCCCACCCCCGCCACCCCCCCGTGCTGCCCTTTGGCGCGGCGGCGGGCCCCAGCCAGCGACTCCGCACGCTCGTGGACTGGCACAACTCGGCTCTCTGGCGGCCGCTCGGGGCGATGCTGGCACCCCTGGAGCGCTCTCGACGAGGCGCAGCCCGTGGAGACAACCCCGGGCTTAGAAACCTTCTGAAGAACGTCCGATACGCTTCGAAACCTCCCCTTTCCTCAGCTTCTTCCCCCCTGGCGTTGCCCCTGACCCAACTCCCTCCCAGCAGGGGCGGGACGGCGGCGCGCGCCGCGGCCCCCTGGAAGCTCGGCGCCCGCCAAGGGCTGCTCAGGACCTCCGCACGCCGTCGCTTCCGCGATCGCGTGCGGATCTGCAGGGCCCAATCGCGCGTAGGATGAGGGGCGAGGGACGAGAGGAGGAGGAGGAGGAGGAGGAGGAGGAGGAGGAGGAGGAAGAGGAGGAGGAGGAGGAGAGGAGGAGGAGGAGGAGCAGGAGGAGGAGGAGGAGGAGGAGGAGAGCGGGGGAGGAGGAGGAGGAGGAGGAGGAGGAGGAGGAGGAGGAGGAAGGACGAGAGAGAGAGAAGGAGGAGGAGAAGAAGGAGAGGTTGAGGAGGAGGAGGAGGGGAGGAGAAGAGAGGAGGAGGAGGAGGAGGAGGAGAGAGGTGGAGGATGAGGAGGAGAAGGAGCAGGATGGAGGGGAGAGGGGGAGGGCCCGCTCGCGAGCAGGAAGTGGGGGGGGCGGGGCCATGGGGCCCTACCCCTCCTCTACTCCCTACCTCCTCCTCCTCCTCCTCCTCCACCTCCTCCTCCTCCTCCTCCTCCTCCCTCCTCCCTCCTCCTCCTCCTCCTCCTCCTCCTCCCCCTCCTCCTCAACCTCCTCCTCTTCCTCCTCCTTCTCCTCCTCTTCCTCCTCCTTCCTCTTCATCGACCTGTCCCCTGCCGACACGTTTGAGCCGTGTGGGCATTCCGTTGTGCCCCGACAGCGGCGGCGCTCCGCCCACACGCGCTTCCTCGGAGTGTCCCGTGCAAGTCGGCTCGTGCCTGGCACCGGGCAGGGGCTGCTCTGCCGTGCGCTCCCAGTCGTTCGCCCAAGGATCACCGACCAACTGGCTGCTGACGTGGTGCCCGCTCCCGGGCACGCGGCGCAGCCACTGCCGCAGCGGTGGGAGCACGGCAGAAACAAGTCATGCATGCTCGCTGGGATCGGAAGGGGGGCTTTCGTTTCCGAGGTCGAGTCGAAGCTGCGCGGAGTGGAGGGTAGCATTCAGGAGGCTGTTCAGCTACCACATCCTGGCAAACTGCGGCAGACGGTGTGGGATGTCGTGTCGACGTGTGCACGGGACGTATTTGGAGGGGGGGGCACGATGGGACGGAAACCGCGGAGTTGATACGGAGGAGGAGGAGGAGGAGGAGGAGGAGGAGGAGGAGGAGGAGGAGGAGGAGCGGGACACACGGAATAGACAACACGAAAGGTGGGAGGCACGGAGGGCGTTACGACAAGCTACGGAGGAGCAGGAGGAAGGAGAAATTGCACGGGTACGCACTACTACACGGGAACTCCGCCGACTCCAGCGATTGCGGTACACACGAAAGACTAGGGCATTGGTGGTCGAGGTGCAGGGAGCGTGGAGCCGCCGCAACTTGCATCGTGCCTGGCAGGTGTCGCGGCAACTCGGTGACAGAGGACGGGGTCCCAAACGACGTATGTGTTGTGCTCTGTCTTCACCAGCGTTCTCTCCCGCTGAGCTCCTCGCCCATTACGCACAATCAAGGTCTCAAGTGGGGGTTCAATGCTCACGTGGCTGATTTTGACCGCATGGTGCAGTCGAGGGAAGGAGAAACCAGCGCTACGCAGGTTGCTGGCGCAGACTTGGCATCGGAAGAAGACCTTGTTCGAGCGGGCGAATCGCTCCGACATATGAAACGACACATACGAAAGGCCGCCTTGCAAGAAACACCACCGAAGTGGGGAGTTCCTGTTGGGACCTGGAGGTTGTTCGGGATCGTTCGAGACCGTTTACTGGAACTGCGCACCGTCTACAGATTCTGCTACGGCTGCAAGTTCACATGCAAACATCGTCTGAGACTCCTCCGCTTTGGCACAAAACGCACTGCCTTCATTTGGCCGAAGCCCCATGGCAAAAAGGGACTGGGAGGACAACCGGGCGGCTGGCACAGCGGGCCCCTGTTCCAAAGCGCTCTTTGCCGGGCTTTGTGGGGCAAGGCGGGAGAGCACACCTACAGCCGAGATTCTGCTTGTGGGTACTCCATGATAGTAGGTGCGACACCGTGGACGGGAGCAGGCCATCACCACGGCTGCGATAACCGCGCCCGGCCGGCGACTGATCGACGGCCCCATCCTCCTCCTCCTCCTCCTCCTCCTCCTCCTCCTCCTCCTCCTCTTCCTCCTCCTCCTCCTTTTCCTCCTCTTCCTCCTCCTCCACCTCCACCTCCACCTCCTCCTCCTCCTCCACCTCCACCTGATCCTCCTCCTCTTATCCTCCTCCTCCTCGCTCCCCCATCCGTCTCGTACGACGTGCGTCAACCAGGCGGTGTGGTATGGATCGGACGAGCTTTCATTGCTGCCTGGCTGGCATGGAACGAACGTGTTGAGACCGACCCGGATTTCTCGGGGGGCCTCTTGAGGCCAGCCGGGACTACTTTGGGGGCCTGTTGAAGCCAGCTGGAAGTACCTGGGGGGGCTGTCGGTGCGCAGCCCGAAGCCTGACCATGCCTGGCGAGGATCGAACGGGCGAGCAAGCGAGCGCGCACCGTCGGTTTGACGGACTTGTCTAACGAAGGCAACGCGTGCGGACCGTGGCCGAGACCCTCTGCAACGTGTGTCGGTGTCGGAGAAACTCTGGGGCAGAATAAGAGACCACCGCGCATGAGAAGTCCGTCCTCCAGATTACTGTACCACTTCGTGTTGCAGCCCGTGGGCCAGGAATGGTAGCATCGCCCAGTGTGTTCCGGTGACCGTTGCGTCAACGATCTTCTCATCGTTTCTAATGTGCACGTGGGTTCCAGGACACATCGTACAGTCCACTTGCCAGGAATATGATGAGCAACTCGCGCTGCATAATTCACGGGGCAGCCACGGGACACTCACGGGACAACCGCGGGACAGCCATGGCGAGAAGCCGCGCAACCCGACGAGAAGCGTCTCGTGAGACTTGGCCCTGGCTGTGCTATCACGTCGTCGCCTTTGCGCCGTTTCGCCTCGCCCTTTGTGCACGACGCGAGCAGCAAGAGAAACCGACTTGGCTGGTTGGGGTGGTCCCTTCGCCTTCACTTGGGAAAGAAAGGGGGTCAAATGTTCCAGCTCTCTGGGCCATGGGGAGGGCAACTATCACACGCCAGAGGATTGTGGAAACCACGAAACAACGTGTTAGGGCTCTCCGGCTAAGGGCGAAAGTGCCACACGTTTCGGCTCGATGGGCCATGCGGAGGGCAACAATCACATGCCACAATCTTATGGAACCTGCGAGACAACGTCTCACGGCTCTCTGGGCCGTGGGGAAGTCACATGGAAATATCATTTGACAATTTGATCGGATCTCGGCACAGCGCGTGACATAGCCTGGCCCGCTGGAGCCGCAGCGCGATATCTCGCACGTGATACAGCCTTCCAATCCTCGAATGCCGAAAGTTGAGTGGGAGAAGAGAGTAGGTAAGATGATGAGGAGGAGGGCAGAAGGAGGAGAAAGAGGAGGAGCGAGAGGAGACACAACCAGATAACGAGCAGAAAGACAGGGAGGGGGTGCAGAAGAACGAGGACAAATAGGTAAAGTGAGAAGACAGTAGAGGGAAGACGTGGAAGGAGGGAGGGTATACCATCAGGAGGGCGGAGATGAGGAGACGCGTCGAGGCGGGTCGTGGGAGGGGCTCGTCTTATAGCAAGAAGGGGGAACCACGGCCGGCACCAATGAGAACCCACAATCGTTTTTTGCGCACCGCGCCCCGCGCCCTCAAGCGAGGCACGTGCGAGGCAGAGCTGCCGCAGAAAGAACAACACGGCGCCGCGTGCCCTGATCCCCCTCGACGTCCTTCTACCAGAAAATGGACCAACAAGAACATTAGCCTGGCGGGGCCCCTTATGGGGGCACGAAGCGTGTCAGGGGTGAGTCGAAGTGGGCTGGCGGCGGCACGCGGGCGCTGCCTTTGGGGCCTTCGGTGGCACTGCGGCTTCCTCTGTTCGCGATCTGTTCGATGGGGGGCACGATGGAAGCTGGACCGTCCAAGATGGCCTTTCCACTCTTTTTCGCCCTCTTTGTCCGCGCACTCCAAGAGTCCAAGGCTGCGGGCGCAGAGCAGCGCGGAGTCCCCGCGACGCGCGCCGGTCGCCCCGCAGGGTTCGCAGCGATGCGCGCGGGTCGCCCGCTGCGCGGAGCAAACAGAAAGCTAGCTGGCGGGCCGATAGCGGGCAAGGCTCCGGCCGCTGGGCAGAGCCACGACGGGCGAGCGAGGCGCCGGGCAGAGCGCAGCACGGAGTTCCTGCGACGCGCGCTGGTCGCCCTGAGAGGATTCCAGCGACGCGCGCGGGTCGCCCGCGGCGCGAGGCCCAACGGTTGGACACCCAAGAGGAGGCGCTGCTCGGGAGCTCCCCAGGCCAGGCCTCACGGATGAAATCGGTGAAGCCCAACTCCTTGGAGAAGACCGTCGCCTCCCTCCTGCACCGCTTCGTGCGCGCCGCAAACTGCTCCAGCTGCTTCCGCAAGCCCTCCGGCGGGCTGGGGCCTTCGGCGCAACTCCCCTTGGGGCCACGAGCCGTATGAGGGGTGTGCCGACATGGGCATGCGGTGGGCGGGGCTGGCGCATGTGGACGCTGCCGCTGGGGCCTTCGGTGGAGCTCCCGATGGGGCCACGAACCGTATGAGGGGTGAGCCGTCATGGGCATGCGGTGGGCGGGGCTGGCGCATGTGGACGCTGCCGCTGGGGCCTCCGGTGGAGTTCCCTATGGGGCCACGAGCGGGGTTGGCGCATGTGGACGCTGCCGCTGGGGCCTCCAGTGGAGTTCCCTATGGGGCCACGAACCGTGTGAGGGGTGTGCCGACATGAACATGCGGAGGTCAGAAGCACGCAGGGAGGAGAGAGGAGGGGGAGGAGGAGGAAGGAAGGAGGAACGCGGGGCGCTGTCTCTTCAAACGGGGATCCAACACCACAGGATGGTTGGGCATAAACACAAACTGTCGGAGCTCCGCACGGACTTCTTGGATCGGCGCTGGACCCGCCAGGGGGGTCCAGCGCCGATCCCAGGAGTCCGTGCGGACTTCCGGGATTTCCCCAAACAGTGCTCTCATCTGTGGGTGCTTACTTGCGTCACTAAGG